TTCCAAAACCGTCCTTTATAAAGCATCTATGAAATGAATGATTTGTATCTATTAGCTGAGAATTTCATATTCATTCATCTTGCATATGCATCAGCTGTGTAGCATTTGCTTGTTTACTGTTTATTTGGTTCGAAGAATCATGCTAAGCACTTTACCTAATGACCTCACTTAGGCTTTCTAATTACATGAAGCAGACATGGTCTCCACTTTACAAAGGGAGTTAATTAACTGCTTAAAGTCAATAGCAGGTGACATTGGTGTTGTTAGGTGTCAGTTCCAACTCACAGCAACAAAAGAAAGCACCACCCAGTCCTAGAGCCTCCTCACAGTTGATGCCTGTGGCCCAGTTTTAGTCACAGTCAATGCATCTCCTTGAGGGTCTTCCTGTCCTCAATGATTTTACCAAACATGACGATCTTCTCCAGGGGTTGATACCTGATTCATTCTCATGCAGCATTTCATTTTTGCCCAAAATAACCTCAAGACTTATTCGTGATGAAAAAGCTAGCATTAATTGAGGGTCCGATGCCACGTCGGAGGAAGTCAAGGCCACCCTAAAAGGAGGGGAAGCCAAGTAACTTCCTGAGCCCAGACATGAGCTGAGGTCGTAAGGGGGAGTGCCTTCGAACAGGTGACCAGCCCTTCTGTGGAGAGATGGGAAACAGACGAGTCCCACAGAGGCAGTCCCCCAGGAAAGCAGCTAAGGAAAGACTGAAACGGTACTAATTGCTCATGGCACAAGGGAAGTCTGCACCCACCTCCTACTGCTTCTTCGTGGGGCTCCATGAGATGCTCCTGGGAAAGACTGGCAGGCAGGAGACCTGAGAAAGGGCGGAAGATAGGAAATCCTCCCTCCACACAAACCCATGTTCCCAACCACTGGGAGCTACAACAGGCCAACCTTAACGAGCTGCCTGCACAGCAGGCACTTGGGAGGGAAGGGGAACCAAGTCATGGCCGGTAGAAACAAGCAGGGTGGTCCTCACTGTCCCGGGAAACTCTTAACTACCCCATGCTATTCACATTGCACAAAGCAGCTGAATTTCCATTTGAAAAGATAATGAGTCATTACTGATACTTTTCATTTCAATTCACTAGTCTTCAGTATCCAGTAAAGTACTCAATACTCTGCATTTCCTTCAAATTCCCTCTCACATCTGGTAAACTCTAAGTACTCTCAAGACCACTGCCCTAAACGCAATTCTAATAGGGTTGTACGCTTCCAACTTCTCTGCCTTCAGTTCCTGCCTTCAGTCACTGCTAATCTTCAAATAAAGCTTCCATTGAGCCGAATCTCTCCACCAAACTTTATCCCCGTTTGGCTTTCCAGACCCAAAGAACGTAACTTTCCGACCACACTTCAAGGCAACTCCTCCTCCCCATTCAGACTGGCCTCCTCACTGCTGGACTATGCGTGGTGCGCTGCCATGTGTGCGGTTGTCTGCCCTTCGGAACGGCTCTGCTCTGTAACAAGAGCCATATTCCGGCGGCTTCCCCTCCCCAGCTATCCTGACCCTTGGCCTCCCTGTCATAGCCTTCCTGTCCCCAGCAGAGCTCAGTGTTGCTTGCAGAAATGCGTTCTTACTCAATTAAACAACCGAAGCCCACGCCACCGCACTCACTGATGAGTAGCTCTGGTCGTGAGATGTCCTTTCCTTAAGTGAAAGCTTCTCCGGGCCTGCCTAAATACTGTTTCGAAGACAACTTCTGTGTGCCACACAAGGTTCCTACTCATTAGGCACCTTGGGAGCACAACTCACATACTCAAGTCATACGGGAAATAGGACCGAGACACCACCTTTCCATCACAGTAGATTTTATGAGCCAAAAGCTCCTTAATGACCTAGACTCTGGGCTGGCTAATTCCGGGTGTATGAACTCGGAGTTGGAAAGTTACTTTTCCTTCCTATGCCCTAAATCTTCTCACTGTGATGGAAGAGTAAGAAAGTCGAGTCATTTCAAAGCACCCTGAATACATGAATGCTACTTAACCAAATGCCTTGCCATTAGTCAGTGGTGTGATAGGTTATTTCGGAGGAGAGAAAAATTAAATACAATGTTATGGCGTCGCACATCAGCTCAGCTTGCTTGTCACAGCTATGCGTAGGAAATGCAGAATTCCGTTCCTAGCAAATTAGTGAACAACATAGCCTCAAAACAGTCTTGACTATTAGTGATGAAAAATATAGCTTTAATTTTAAGGTCCCAATTCCACTTAGGAGGGCACCTGCCCATGAGCTGAGGTCACAAGGTGAACTGCCTTCAAAAGGGTGTCAAGAATGGGAGACACAGGCCGCTTCACTCTGGGCAGCGTCCCGAAGAGGCAGTCACTAGGGAAGCGCTAAGAAAAACTGACGTCGTGTTGAATTTCTCAAGGTGAGAGGGTTCCCTTGGAAACCCTGGAACACCAGGCACAGGTAGAGTGTATGCATCTCCTCCCCCTGCTGCTTCTTGGCTCTCCCCTAGGTGCTCATGAGCAAGGCTGGCAGGCAGGAGACCTGGGAAGGATCCCGTCACTGACACAAGAAGCTCCTTTGTGAAGAAGTAAATGTCTTAAGCTGCTAGGGGAGGGGAGATGGACTGCTTTGGGCAGGAGGGGAGGAGACACACTGCCTGCCACTGAAGGGAGGGCGGAAGACCCTGCGCCCACACAGAAGATGTTATACCCACAGGGCAGACAGACCTGGCCAGAAAGTGCCATCCCCAAAGTCCAAGAGCACAGGACATGGTCCTGGCGGAACCAAGAAAACCCTGCCCTCTGTGAGCCTCACACCGCGGGTTATTGCTGGAGGGGACAGGAGAAAGCATGGGGTCAGCTTCCATCTGGGGTGCAGGTGCCGGGGGACTTGTCCTACTCGGGATTTGGGGAAAACCTGAAAAGACCTTTCTTTCTGCAACACAGGCCCCCCACTTGCAGTAGCCCACCCGCGACTCCCTGCCGTCTGGGGCACGGAAGACAAGCACAAACCTAAACTTGGCTGGGACGCTGACTGGCCCACCCCAACCTGTCTGGCTGGACCAGAGGGCAGGTGGGTGCCCACTTTTGCAAATACTGCCTCCATTTATTTTACATACGGTATTTGGTATTCAATTAAAAAACAAAACAATGTAAAACAAACATACCATAAAAGGACAACAAAACTAGACTCAGATCTGACTCGTGTTACACACCTATCCGCTGAGGATTTGGAAGTTAAGTATGATGAATATATTAACAGATCTGGTGAAAAGGGCAGTAACACATACGAGGCTATAGGGAATTGGGGCAGAAAGTGTAGAACTAGAAAAAAAAAGATTAAAGAATTAAAGAGAAATGCTAGAAATAAAAATCACCTGGTCCGGGTGGAAGAATTCCTTCAAAGGGTATACCAGCACACCAGACACACGCAGCTCAAGGAATAATCGGTGATCTTGAAGATTGTCGAGAAATCCCCTACAGCGAAACATCGATACTAAAATGATGTGGTCTCTAACTATACTCAGTGGACTTTAATATAAAACTCAGACGCAAGCTAGGTGTCTGTTGTCTATTTATGAAGTACAAAAGAAGACAAATGAATAAATCAGATTTGTTATCAACCAGGTGAGGGGTGATCTTTGGTGATGGGGGGAGGGTGGACGACTAACGACTAGAAGAATTTCTAGAGGGCCTCAGTGGGGCAGGTAGCAATGTTCTGCTTCTTGACATGGGTGCTGGTTACGTCTGGCTTGTGAAAATCCAGTAAACTGTACACAGGCAATTTTCAGCATGTATTATGTCAATCAAAAGTTTACAAGATGTGGATTCTGACTCCTAGTTGGGCTACAAGGTCAGCAGTCTTTCTGGGAGAGACGAGGCTTTCTGCTCCTGTCAAGATTTACACAGCCTGTGAAACCCAAAATGGAAGTTCTACTTTGTCTTCTAAGGCTGCTTTTAAGATGTGATGAAAGAGGAGGCTACTATTCAGGTTTATGAAGAATGTCTTGAGCAGAAAAAAATACGAATTACCTAAATTAGCACCTGCTACTATCAGTTCTTAGAGATAGCATCCCATCGCCTCCATTTTAAAATGACAAAAAAACCCACAACAACCCAGAGGCCCCAAACAGATTAAGTGATTTGCTTAGGGTCAAAAGCTGATTAAACAAGACAGAAATAATCTACATAGCATATACTCTGAATGTTACTATTTCATGAATAAGGACAGCAAAATTATAATGATTTCAACTTCTCCACCATTGTCACTGTCTGAAGATCTTCCCCATGGAGAGAATGTGGCTCACCAGTTGAAAATATGGAGGCATTATTGATTCAAGTGCCATGCAGTCAGTGCTTAACAAATGGTGTTTAATGAATGATAAGGACCAAACAAGAGCTGCTAACACATACTGTAAAGTAGTAGTTTCAAGACAAGCCTTCAATTTAAGTTTTACCTCAAGGCCATTATAATCATTTCAGTGCATAAATCTCCTATCTATAATATTCCTCTGTTAAAACGTTTCAACATTTTAGAATGCTTTATGAACCATATTTTTCCGAGCATCTACATTGATATAAGGCAAATTACTTTCTTCCTTGGAAGCAAAACAATTCGACATCTAACTCACTGATCCTCTAAATGCCATTTCAACTATGACACAAATTTCAAAATGGTCAGAGGCCTAAGACATCCCAAAGACCTGATACAAATCCCCCTTTAAACACAGAGCATCATTCAGACGCCAGGCACCAGTCGCTCTTCTAATCCCCCAGGGATGTAAAAAGAGCAGATCTAATCTGTACAGGCAGCAACCCTCCAGCCTTATTCATGTTTCACAAGTCTATGTAGTGAAGAGCTCATGTGTATCACTTTAACGCTCATAAATTTTAAGGTCATTAATAATATAATCCTATGACCACTTTCAACAACTTTTAAATTAAGACAGTAAGAATTTTCTCTACTATTAAATATATATGTATATGTGTGTGTCAAAAATGAATTTGTGAGGTTCCACGATGAAATATCTTCAGGAATTTCTAGTATTTTTAGAAGTCAGACTTTATTATGTCATGAAGATCTAAACCTAGAAACAGAAGGCACAGATATTTTTCCATTTGGATTAAACCAAGTGGGATGGGGAAAGGATAGAAGTTGGAACTTAAATGCCAGACTCAGGAAGAAAGAAATATTTTACAGATGATTGTTCAACTATCCAAAGCATCTTGGTCAGTTTCAGCATCTTATGAGAATTAAGAATAATATATTTACATTTCAATAAACTTTATTCAAACTCAAATCTGACAACTATAAAGAGGAGAATTATAAAAATTAGCAAATTTTGTTAACAAAATGAAAATAAAACAAAAAAAACCCCAGACAACTGGCTATGAAAAATACTATCAAGTATTTACTGAATAAAGAGCTCATTCAAATGTATAAAGAAACTAAGACAATTGTTAATATAAATGAGCAAAAGTACACACAGACAAGTCACACAAAAGCAAACACTAATTGTGAATTAAAATAAGGAAAGATGCATATGCTTTCTAGAAGTCAAAGAAAAGCAGGTTAGAAGTTGCTAAATTAGCCAAGAGTATTTAAAACCCCCACCTAAACAAACTTGCAGTGAAACTGGTACAATTCATATAGTGACACTAAAGTAGTACAATTCTTGGAAAAATAAGGCAAACAGAACAGAACCTCCAAATTGTTCACTTAAAAATCCCACCCCCTTGAATTTATTCCAAAAAAACTGAAGCCACTTGCTTATGTATTCGGCAACAGGGAAATGGCTTCGACTGTAAATGTTGTGAGGATATGATTCAAATCATCATTCTCAAAAGTATAAATAGTTGGATTAACCAAATGAAAAAAAAAATTAGTCAAAAATTGCAGGTGCCATAAGAGTGAAACCATGTGGATAAAAAAGGGCATAGTACAAAATTAAAATTCCGAATGCATCACATTGGAAAAGTGAAGATTATGGCTCATTTTGTCTTTTGGCAAAAATGTCCCCAACACTTTCGATTAAAAAAAAAATGGTTACCATTTTATAAAGAAAGACACTTGTCTTTTCAAGAAACATCTACTCTTCTCCTTCAATGTATTACACCTGTTGGGTTTTAAGTTGAGAAAGACAACAGAAATACCACAGCGATTTTCTAAAGTCCCAATGCTCCTCTATGTGGCCTTAGCCAGCAATATGAAATGTAACCCATGCCATTCTCAGAAGGGAGAATGCCTCCATGGGCATCTCTCGTGGACATAAACCACAGTACTGACATCTGAATAAAACTGCAAACTTCCAACTAAACGGCCTTGCGTTTGGTATTGTAGGTTGCTGTATCACAAAATCAAACTCCTTATAATTCTGTCAGAATGAGTTCTAAGGTTTTCACTTAACATGTTGCTAATATGCTAAAAATGTTCTTATGACGCATATAGCTTTTTCCTATATGAGTTCATAATAATATAAACTCAGGCACAAACTAAACCCTTTGTCTACATAGTTAAGATTTTTTTGAGTTAGATGTGGCCAGTAGGCATCCACCTTTAAAAGAAAGTCAATCCATAAAAATACAAAGCTCCTCTTTCAAGAGGTTTAATGACTTTTCCATTTGGAAGTGTATCTGAATAAGGAGGGATCTGAACTTCCCACAGGCTAACTGTATCGTACTTTCCTCTGACAAAACTGTGAGAGTTAATTATATATGGAACTTACCATGATGTTATCCAAGTACGCTTTCAGAATTAGGGCCCAGAGAGCCAGGGAACACCGATGGTCATCTGCAGGGAAACACTGGAGAACAACTGCTACTCCGTAGTGAGAGGAAAGAGTGCCCGGAAATGCAGGCAGGGCAGTGATCTCAGTCTATAAATACCCCCTCAAAAGAGCCCATAAAGAGATGGAGAGAAATGTGAAAGACTAGAGAAACCAATTTCTAACTGAAGACTCGTGCCTTGAATTTAAAATATTATGCTAGTTAGTAACTCGGTAAAAAGTGTTGAAGTTCCCAGAAGACGTTCTCATAGCTGCCAAAATATAAGCCCTGGAGCTGCCCTCTGCCCCCTGGTAGAAAGGAGCGGGCTTTAATCAAGCATTTACTCTCTGGCTTACTTCCTGCTAGTGGTAGCAGTAATCATTTGGTTCACTTACAAATATTTATTATAAAAATTTGTTTTCAAGATTTAAACAAACACACTTATGACTGACTAGATGAGTGCTGTCTTGCCAAAGAAATGTGCTTAATAAAAAATAAGCTAACACAAACCGTTAAATGATAGCCAAATTGGAGTTAAAAAAAAAAAAAAGTCAATACAATATGGAGTCACCAGGAAGCCAAAAGAACACTCAATCACATTCAGTTTTGTGAAACCAGCGTCACACTCAGCTCCGGATTTCTTTTTGGTCTGAGTAGACAACAGTATTCAATTCTTCACAGGAAAAGGCTTTTGAAGAGAGGTCAAATTCAGAAACAACATGAAAACATCTAAAAGAACATTCCACTTTACAACAAAGAACTGAACGACTGTAAAGCCATTTATAATGTCTAGCAGATGAACAGTACCCTACCGAAACTATAAGTGATGGATATTTTTCCTCATGCTGGGAGGGGGAAGGGGGGTGTGAAGCCAGGCCAATCTTAACTTGCCTGAATTGCATCACCTTCTGCCTTAACCTCACTTAATGATATAGATTCACAGCTCAGAGGCTGTTCTTTGGACTCGTCTGGTTTGGGTTTTTTAAGTCCCGTTTCTGCAGGGAGAAGAGCTGCACAGAGCTCCAGAGCCCGTGCAATGTCGTCGATGGTCCACTTCTCCTCGGGAAGCGCGTGGTCATCCAGCGTGAACGGTCCCTGTTTGGTTCGGGTCAGCTCGAGCACGTTGGCACAGGAGGAGAGTTCTACGGTGAACAGAAATGGAAAAAACACCCATTAAACAGCCAGCATTGTAGTTATTCCATGCCAAGTGACAGAAGAACTCAATTTCAACGCCTCTCACAACCACCCTCAGAGTAAAATTGTACTGAGTCTCGAAAATGAAGAAATGACTAAGTAGCGAAAGAGTTATTCATAGCTCACCTTGCAAACTGCTTGAAAGCCTACAAAGAACTTAAGTCCGTTTTCCGTAGTAGTCTCACTTGGCAGATAGGTGACCTGCCCAATGTCACGACTGCCGATAAAAGACAAGAGCCAGAACTGCACCTTTTGTCGGGCTGTCCGACTATCATGCCCAGTTTGTTTAAGAATTTACGTGCATTAATGAAAATAACTTTTCAGATGAAATTCATTTTTGCTGATCCCTACCGAGAGTCAAAGTATTTTTATAATGGAGAAACTCTTGGTCTTTACATTCATGACTCCCATCTTTATTCTCTGATCCCTTCTCTTTGCTTCTCTCCCATTATAAGCACCTTGCTGCAGCTGCTGATGTTGATAATTGCATGCCAAAAACCTACAATGCTTCTCCAGCTGAAGGCAGCAGAGTTCAGTTCCTAAGGCAAGTATTCAGAGACAGGGACAGTAGAAAGCTCCCTTTGCCAGCAAAAAGGACTATTACTCTCTAAATGAGAATTCATAATTCATTTCCATACTTACCTTTGCCAATGTCACTGACCAAGCTTCTGATATAAAAACCTCCGCCACATTCAACATCTGGAATGTTAACAGTGACATGGTAAATTGCCAACCTCCCATGAAATCCACTTTACATAGAAATGATGCCCCTAAACAAATGTAAAAATGCACTAGGCAAACAATCGCATGATAAAATATTTATGTGCTAGGACATAAATTATTCATCTAGTAGCATATGTGTTTGTGGGATTGAAAAGTCAAGAGTGTGGAGAAAGCAAACAGCAGAAAACTCATGAGCACATTTTAAATTAACCGGCGAGTCACAGCGCTTTAAGACTGCAGTCTTGTTCATCTTAATAGGTTTTAAATAGCAGAAATCTCAGCTCCACTATCAGGAGCTGTAGGTATACAGATTTGTACATTCAAAAAACACAGCAAACAATGAAACCACCACTCTTTGGAGCGACAGAAATTATGTCTAGGGTAATGCATGACCTGAGAACTCAGCATATTGAAATGTTCTCTTGGAAATATTCCTGAAGAAACCATCAATAATCATTAAAATCATAGGCAAGCCCAGATAGACCTCAATACATATCTAAGCATATTAACAAAAACTTACTGGTTGAGAGCAGAACTCTAGGTCACTGAGCGTTCCTGAGGCCGGGAGGTATTTTATTCAGAAGATACATAGATATAGCTTCTATTTTGCCCTACCAGCTCAGGCTTAAGGACTTACTAGAGATGAAAATGGGCAAGAGGCCCAGCCTGTAAGTGCGCTGGCGTTCTTGCACTATGCTCGACTCTGGTGAAAAGACCCAACACTGGAATCTGTAGCAGGCAAAGCAAAGCATTTATGATTTCAGGCAGCTGGAAAAATCGGAGTGTTTCTTACTTCCAAAAAGATCCTATCTGCTCTGCCAACCCATCTGCTGCGTTTTCATGGACTGGAGCAAAGCATTTGTTCAACTGGTTTTATCATTATCTGTCAAATAGTTTCCATTCAGGAAACCAGGTGGTGGCTTTAAAAAACTGCACAAAATCACATTCTACAGGAATTTAATACACATTAAATAATGCCAGTGGAAAAGAGCAATCACAACAACAACAAAAATACGAAAATAACAAATCCACCGCCATGGAGCCAATGCCGAATGCTAGCAACCCTACATGACGTGTGTAACTGCCCTGGAGGGTCCCAGGCTGCAGATCTTTGAAAGCACGCTACCTCAGCTACCTCGGTCTGAGCAGCTGAGGACCTGCCTCCAAGGCTCCATGAAAGAGCAGTCAGTTTAGAAGGAAAAACGTCTGGAGAAAGTATTTCCACAGAGCACCCTTATCTAGTGTGCATCATGGCATGAAGGGTCACATCAACAGATTAAGAACTTCAGCCTTTGGTGCGTCCCAGCTTTTGCTAGAGACAGGACCCCATCCAGCTACTACTTTCTGTAACCAGATGATAAAATTTCCAAATAGAAACACCGTTTGGGGTTTTCAAATATATTTTGAATATAAAAAACCCAACGCCATCAAGCTCATTCCAACTCCTAGTAAGCCTAAAAGCCAGAGCAGATCTGCCTAGGCTCTTTTAAGACTAAACATTCCGATGGGAGGAGACAGGCTCCTCTTGCTACCACTCGGGTCCAACCTTTCAATGAGCACGCAACATGCAGCCCAGGGCACCTACAGGCTATACAGAAACTCAAATGCATCATGCAAATTCAAATTCCACTATATAATAACTTTAAAAAATCATTTTATTGGGGGCTTTTACAGCTCTTATCAAAATCCATACATCTATTGTGTCAAACACATGTTCACATATGTTGCCATCAGCGTTTTCAAACCATTTTCTTTCTACTTGAGCCCTTGGTATCAAAACTCATTTCCCCCCTCCCCTATCCTCCCTTCACGAACCCTTGATAATTTATAAATTATTATTTTCTTCATGTCTTACACCGACCGCTGTCTCCCTTTACCCACTTTTCTGTTGTTCATCCCCCCTGGGAGGGGGTTATATGTAGATCATTGTGATTGGTTCCCCCTTTCTAATCCCACCTTCCCCTCACCCTCCTGGTATCGCTACTCTCATTATTGGTCTTGAGGGGTTTATTTGTCCTGGATTCCCTGTGTTTCCAGCTCTTATCTGTACCAGTGTACATGCACTGGTCTAGCTGAATTTTAAAGGTAGAATTTGGGGCATGAAAGTCGGGGGAGGGGGGCGCATTAAAGAACTAGAGGAAAGTTGTATGTGCAAGAACTCATTTTGCCCTTATCCATTTTCCCCAGATTTTTGGGATCTTTAGAAATGACTTGTAGTGACAAGGAGGGTCTAGAAAGGGTGGGAGAGGAATATCAGTCTACTCAGATTTGTCTCAAAACTCAAAATATTTTGCTTATGGAGCGGGAAACTAATAGCACTTCTAAACTTCACTGAGCATAAACAATCAAGGCAAAGATGGGTCAGCAGTACTCATAAGATTACAGAATCTAAAATCTTGAAAACACATATCCCTTTCTTATCCCATAGGACTCAGCATTTTATTGTGCTTGGGACTGTCGGCATGGGCTGGGGCGACTTGCCTACACGCTATCACTGCCACTACTCAACTCGTTCCCAGAGCTCTAAGCTAACAATACTTCCACGTAATACTAACCACTGTGTAGTCAACAGGTACCTCATTAAATGTTAGAGGAAAGGGTTAGCAAATTCTAACATTCCTTAAATTCAAATTTCAAGAAACCTCCAATGCTCAACGGATCCATTACAGTTAGGAGAAACGACAGAGCACAAAGTAAAGGTCCCTTACCGAGTGTGAAAAGCGGCGGCTGGAACCTCTGGAGGGAGATGCTGTAGACAGTGACTGGTCTGGCAGGTTTGGCTTCCACTGCTTCCCCTCTCTTCATCAGAGTTGACAGTCTCTGTCCATCTTTCTTGAGGGCAGAATACCTGGGGGTAGAGGAGGGAGAGGGTAAGAACTGAGAGAAAAACCCCAGAAGACCGCATGGACAGGGCGGCTAACTAGCAGCCCTCTGGGGCACCCACCAGTGGACAGTAGCAGAACCTGCATGTCCCACAGGGGAGTCTCGGGCTGGACAGCAGGCAGCTGGCTCGTACTGTGGTGGCTGGTCAGGCTTCAGCACAGCATCCAGACTAACGCAAGCCTCTGAAAGACCTGACAATCTACTTCCAGTCACCAGCCAAGAACACCCTGTGCAGCACATGGAACACTAGCCAATCACCAGTGGAGGCAGTGGATGGTGTAGGACTTTGCTCTGTTGTGCACGGAGGTCGTCACGAGTCACCAGCAACAAATACAGCAGCCACCACCCTTCACCCAGGAAATCCTTCTCACAGACAAGACAGGTTTTCCCGTCACAGCTACTTCATTATGGTGTCGGGGGCTAGCACGGAATAAACACGTTTTGTCAATGTTCACGTTTCACCCTCTCCCAGGAGATAGTCTGTCTGCCCAGTACTCCTCACTCTGGGCCACACTGAGCAGGGTCTTATTTCCTGGAAACACTTTGCCTACAGCAATACATTTCTAAATGAATGGTAAATTAGCAAATGATCTACTGACCAGATCTTTAGCTTCGTGTGATTAAAGTTTATTAAACCACAAACGTTGGACCAATAATGGAGAAAAAACTTCTAAAACGATTTCTATAAATGATAACATTTGAGCAATGACACAACACAGACTTAACATTTTAAAATCTTTACGTTTGAGGCAAAAATCATAAAGAAACATTTCTCCACTAGATGTTTAAATGCTTGTAAAGATTTTTAAAAATGCTAATATATCATAAATTCCAAACTAAAAAAGATATGTCAGTAATATATCCTGTTACATCCTATAGCAAGTTAAAAAGGATTTGCTCGAATGGCAGCATACATTAAAAATAGGGTAGCAATAGTTATATTTTTAATACATTATAACTAATCTATTTTGTCTATAAGAGAACAATAAAGCAAAGGATTATGGGCCCCAAAGGACTATCCCTACACCTGGCAGGCAGTGCCCATCAGGATGAGTATATACATTACCTGGTGCAGGGATAAACGGATCCCTTCACAGCACTCCTGAACAAAAGTGACATCCCTGGATCCAGAACACACCCTAATGTCTACTGAATGACTGCCATTGAGTTGATTCCAACTCAGTGACCCTCTACCCAAAAACCCCCCAGTGCCATCAAGTCAATTCTAACTCACAGTGACTCTGGATAGGATATTCATGGTCTTAAACCTTCTGGGAGTAGACAGCCTGATCTTTCTCTCATGAAGAGGCTGGTGGGCTTGAAATGCTGATAGGCTGCAATTTCCTGCAGTTAGTCATCAATGCTTATCCAACAAAGCCACTTGGGCTCCTTTAGTGACCCTCTAGGACAGACTAAAACTGGCCCAAAGGGTTTCCAAGGCTGGAATCTCTATGGAAGTGGTCGGCCTCATCCGCTGCCAGCCTTCAGCTGAGCACCCACTGTGCTCCCCGGGTTCCATCGAATGTCTGCCATCGATGGAGAAAAATAACCAGTAAACACTGGACCAGCACCACGGTCCTACTGTGACAGGACCTAGGGACAGAGACCACATTCAACCACCTTCTTAAGAGTCTTGGAAGCTCTGCATCTTGTCTGAAGCAGGCTCATCTGTATTTGAGTATTTGCTAAGTCAGATGTACAGCCTGCCTCACAGTGCAGGAAAGGAGCACACTGACTGTCGTTAAGGTGATGTTCACGTCACCAGTCGCTATGACTCCTGTCGACTACACAGGTGTCACACACAGTGGAGCTGTGCCGCCTAGGGTTTCCAGTGGCTGACTTCTCAGAAGAGGATCACCACACCCGACAGACCCCAACCCCCACCCTGTTGGAGTACTCAAAGGCAATCATGAATCGCTGACACCAATCACAGCACTTACAGAGGGGGTACTTGCATTATATTCCCAGTAAATTTCTCAAGAATGCCTTCAATATCTTCTTGGGTTATTTTATCTGCCAAAAATAAAGGGAAAAAACAACAATAAATCAACCATAGAAGCACATACGCTATTTTGCCTGCACCAATAATTATGAAAATGTATCTTAAAAACAAATAAGACTCCCACTACCATAACTCGAATTCGACCTTGCAAGCCTGGCCAGACCAGAGGAGGTACACTGGTACAGATAGGAACTGAAAATACAGGGAATCCAGGGCAGATGAGCCCTATAGGACCAGTGGTGTGAGTGGCAAAACAGGGAGGGTAAAGGGAGAATGGGTAGGAAAGAGGGAACCGATTACATGGAACTATATGTGACCTCCTCGCTGGGGGACAGACAACCGAAAAGTGGGTGAAGGGAGACATCGGACAGGCCAAGATATGACAAAATACCAATTTATAAACTATCAAGGGCTCATGAGGGAGGGGGGAGCGGGGAGGGAGGGGAAAAATGAGGCCTAATGTCGGGGGTTTAAGTGGAGAGAAAATGTTTTGAGAATGATGTACAAATGCGCTTTACACAACTGATGTGTGTATGGATTGCGATAAGTTGTATGAGCCCCTAATAAAATGTTAAAAAAAAAAGAAAAGAATTCCAACAAAGTATGTACAACGGTGTGTGTTTTATAGGCCAAATTCAAGCCAGTTAAAATGAATAAAGCATACACATTGAGGAGATCAAAGGGGAGAAAAGTGTTCCATTATTCATCACCAAGACAAGCTTTCTTTGGCTCCCCCCGGCCCCCCCATGCACACAAACAGATCATCTTAAATGCACTTGGGTGGCTGTTCCTCCAGCCTTTGCAGACAGAGAAAAGTCTAACCCAGCTATGACGATGCCGTGATCAATAACCAGGCGATCCAAACCGATGAAAACGAAATCCATCAGGGCTTTTCTGAGTCTCTCCGGGTGTCCTACATGCAAATAACCCGGCATTAACGTGGCTCGAAAAATCACTATGCCTTACCTACATCTTAATTTTTACTTGATAACTTTCAAAATTCTTCTGCTATACATTGTTATATTTCCATTCAATTTCATCTCCCAGGGAAGGTTTATTTATCTGTCATCCTCCTCTCTGCTCCTGGACTAGCTCTGTTCTCTAAATGAACACTCAGCCAGGTGGCTGACTTTACCTCAAAATGGGTCAGCACAGTAAAGAAATAAAGCATGCCGGCAGCAAGAATGCTCACATGCTTACGAGGCCATTCTTTCCATAGTGAGGCCCCAAATGGATGAACTGAAGTGTCTACTATGTGTCACCTAATGGTGTTTCGCCTACTGTTTTGATACTCTTTCAAAGCCAAGATGCTGTATTACAGCCCTATCATTTTAAAAAATGGAAAGTAACAAACACACTGACACATTTAAGCATTTGGGATTTTCACACATATTTTTATATAAATCCTTATACATATTTGATAATTCAAAAATAAAAACGAAATCCTAAGAGGCTATAACTTGTCTATTCTGTCCATGGGAAAGAAATGATGGTCCCACTCTTCCCCTTCACTTTGTGGGAAATTTGTTTTAAATGGGTTTTTCCTCTGCCTCTATCAGAGAAAATCAGGTTGTGGGAACCATGTTAAACAAGAACTAATTAATGTGCTTTGAAGTGCTGTTCTAACAGCAAAATTTGAATGTAAAAGCCAGCCTGGGATATGGGGCCCAGATCTGAACATCAGCACAGCGAGCCAGCCTTCACCTCGCTGTGACCTTGATGCCTCACCAGCTAAGCCTGAACAAAAGGCTGGCCTCTCCAACACAGAAGAGCGAGAGAACTCAAAGGCATCGCTCCCCATACCTAGCAGCTTCCTCACAAAGAACCCTCTCACGCTGCGGCCGTTCTGTTCACACCGTTTCTCAAGCAGATGTAGCTCATGACATCAGTGAGGATTTTTCGACAAAAGAATTCTGACAGGACTGCACCATTACAACAAACAGACTGGGGGCAGCACCTTAGTTGTGCAAACCTCAGATGTCCCCAGCGTGACATCCAGTGCCCCCACGGTGCTGAGGGAACTGCTGAAAATGCCACAGCTGTGAAGATGGAGATGGCTCATAATTTCCCTGGCCTCACATTTTAAAGCGAGATAAACCACCACGCTCTACTGCTGAGCTGCTCGCCTCGCGGAGGTGGCGGCTAAGGTGGCTCCGTTGTCCTGTTTCTGGCATTCCTTCCTTCCTCTCTCACTGGCATTCACGATGACAGGATATGCTCTTTCTCCCTTTCCACAGTTCCAGACACGAGCCACCGAGCCTGCCACTCGTCTCCTTTCTCTGACTTCATAGCTCAGGCTTTGATGGCTTGTGCTTCTCATCCTACAGTTAATCAAAACACACTGTGTAACAGTCACCTATTATATATGTAGCTAGTCTTTCACCAATAAAATTCTAAGCTCCTTAAAGACAGCTTTCTTCTATAAGATTAAACGGTCCTCAAAGCATTCCCGCTGAATTTAATTTGTCAAGGAATACTATAACAGGATCGTACGCAATTTGAAAGAAGTTAAAAGTCCTGTAGACCAACCATCCATCTGATATTTGAATCACTAAACTGAAAACATATCAAGTTATGTTATAATAAAAGCCACACTGTCTTATCATATGGCCTGGTGATGCCACTCCTAGGGATATAATCAAAAGAACTGAATTAGCCAAGGGGGTTTAAAAAAGTATATGGAAAATGGAGTGAAGAGATCATGAATTTTTCCAGTAGCTTTTTGAAGCCTCCTTGTAGCCAGGCAAAAACGTATGCAGAATGTTCACAAGAGCATTATTTCACAGAGTCAAACTGTGAGAGAACCACATGTGGCATAGCCACACCACACCGAACTCACTGCTAGCAAGTCAATTCTGACTCAGCCACTCGACAGGGTGAAGTAGACCTGGCTCTGTGGGTCTCCGAGGCGGAGGGCCCTTTCTGAATTTTGGCAGACCGAGGAGCCTCTCAAACAAGCCTCTGTGACTCAACAGTGACACTGAATTTGGGGAAACATACCTGAGCAAGAGTCTATGGGAATTACAGAGAAAGAGACAACAGTTCAATTACACAGGTCTAAAGCAAGTTGATAAAGGACAGCTTTTCAACCCTTCCTGCCGAGACAATGAAATCCACGTACAAAGAAATGACTGATTCACACTTCATTCCACAAACTAACTCTACCCGGACAAGGAGGGGAGCCATTACAGAGGGGAATGAGGAAGCTTCTACAGGATAAACTCACTTGCTATCTTGAGCATGGCAATAGCTTCATGAGTGCCCAAATTCTTCAAGCTGAACCTTTTAAATATGGACAGTTTTCTGTATACCAGTTATACCTCAGGAAGGTTTTCTCTGAGCTGGACCGCAGCCACGTACTGAGGTCCTGGCAGGGCAGTGGTTCTATGGGGAGATATACACTTGCGTATTTGGAGGTGGGGATAGGAGCTACAGTTTATGCTTGGATAGTTCAGGAAAGGTTATTTGCAAAGTTTTTGTTAGATTATTTCAGAATTAAGAGTAAAATTATGAGGAACTATTATGAATGACTTTATACCAATGAGTTTGAATAAGGTATATGAATTCCTGGGGGGGGGGATTTCTAGAATGACACAAGACATTTTAGATATATTAAATTTGATAACTAGAAAGAAATCCAATCTATATTTAAAAGTCTCCCAATAAAGAAAACCATAGAACTAGATGCCTTTATCAGTTAATTAATTCTCCCAAACGTTTAACAAGACTATTAACTTGACACACACTCTCCCAGACAACAGAATGCACCTCATGAAGTCAGCATCGCCTTGCTATCCAGAACAAAGACACAAAAGGAAATGAAAAAGAAAGGGTAATCTTACTCAGGACATATGCAAATATCCTGATGTAAATATTTGCAAACCAAATCCAATTTATAAAAAGGATAACACATCCTGACCAAGCTGGGTTTATTCCATAAATGTAAAGTTGATTTAACATTTGAATAAGAACAAAAACTAATATACGCAGAAAAAACTTTTGATAAAATGCAATGTTCATGCAAGATGGAAGTAAAACAAAAAAAAACAAAACAAAAAACCTCAGCAAAAGCACCTCCTGACTTTAATCAAGGGCTGTTAGAGCAACAAACAAACAAAAATAAAAAGCAACAAACAAAAACCTGTGGTAACATCTGTAAGAAATAGATGGAAGATTTGCTCTCCATCTATTTATAAATCTAAAGATTTATTCTAAAGCCGGAACAAGAAAATGGTTTGCTGTTAGCATTTAAAAAAAAAAGAAGCCAAATGTACTGCCATGGGGCCGATGCCTGCTCATAGTGACCCTATGGGGCAAGGCTGTCACTCTCTCCAGGAGTAGAAAGCCCTGCCTTCTCCAGAGGAATGGCTGGGGATTCCGAACTGATGGCCGTGCAGTTCTCACAGCCCAAAGCATCACCGTTACACCACCACAAAGATAAGAAAAAGATCAATGTAATAAACAGACTGAAACAAGTCCATGTTTGCCTGCTACTTCATTTCTAACAAGGGAGGCAATAGTCAACTGGTCTCCACACAGAACAATGGAAGGTTACAGTGCAGGCTCATTCACGTGTCATAGCAAAGGCAATGCAATCAAGCCTTAATCATGAGGGGAAATCTGCTCATGACCTTTGAATAGGAAGTGATTTCTTAAACAGGACAATTTAAAAAGACTAACCATTAAGAAAACGATGTGATCAACTGGAGTAAATTAAATCCAAGAGCTTCTGTTTTTCAAAAGACACAAATAAAGGTGGCAAAGGGCCAGTCAGACAGGAAGAAACAATATATGCAACAAGTTTAACCCAAAGATCGGTCAGGTCCTTGGTATACAAAGAACTCGTACAAATCAATTTTTAAAAGGCAGGCAACTCCAGAAAAAGTGAAACAAAAACAATCAAGAGACCTGAACAGGCAATACATAAAATAAGATGGCCTAGGGCCCAAAGCACATGATTTCATTCATTAAATCAATATCACAATGAAATACCACTACATAGTCACCAGAG